GGTCCCAGCTGACCTCTGGGCCCTGGGCAGCATCTCGGCCCCTGGGTGTTCCCCTCTGCCTGAGTCATCAGGCCCCTGCCCGGCTCTCTCAGTGCCTGGAAGCCAGGTGGTGGCCCAGCCCCCGCCCCACCACCGCTGTTCACTGTCTGCAGGGCGACTGGCAGGGCAATCAGGCCCTGCTCACACCCACCTTGGCCTGGCGCTGCCTGATCGCCTGCTCCACCATCCTGCCACAGTCCCGCTGTCATCAGGGCCCATCAGGGCCGGTAGCACCTCCATTGTCGCCTGCTGCCAGCGCCACATTGCCAACACCCACTATGTTCCTCGCTGCCCCCTGGTGGTCAGCACATGTCATAGCAAGTGATTGAACTCCCCATCGAACACCTGGTAGAGAGGACAATTTGTGTATTAGGCTTTTATTATATAGAATGAGTACATAATTAAAAGGACATGTTCAGCAGCAAGTATTAAAAAAAAGAGGTTTTAAAATTCTGAAAGAAAAAGCTCAATATATACCAATTAAGTAGTTTGGTCATTCATTCATTTTTTCATTCATTCAAAAAATATTTGTTGAGCAACTACTATGTGCCAAGCACTGTTATGGGTAATAAGGATATATCAGTGACTAAAGTAAAGTTCACCCAAATGAAGTTTAATTCTAGTGAGGTAGACACACAGATCATAAGCAATCATACAGTTAATGTAAACATGTGATAAATGCCAAGACAAAGCAGGATAAAGGAATTGAGCAGAATGGGTGTGAGTGGTGATTTTAGATAGTGTAGTTTAGATAGTAATTTGAATAGTAGGCTCTTAGAAGAGTTGATGACATCTGACACTTTATTGGGGTGATGGGATGTGTCCTGCAATTGTGACATCTCACATATTGTTTTCATTTCAGATTGCTGCACATTGGGAAGAATATTAATTGTAACTTTCCCAAATGAGGTATAATGAGATAAATCAGGAGAATAGGAACCCCAAGCCATGTCATATAAAGAAAATTTCAAAATATTGGCAATGTTGAGCCTGGATGAGACAGACAGCTTAGGAGAAACTTGATGGATTTTTTCAAATTCTTTAAGAACTCTGTGGAAGAGACACTGCATTTGTTCTATTAGGACTATAAGTTAGAAGTTACAGCTATCAGCTAATCAAAGATGAAATAGGTTGGGTTTTTAAAAAATATATTTTTATTGATTTCAGAGAGGAAGGAAGAGGGGGAGATAGAAACATCAATGATTAGAAAGAATCATTGATTGGCTGCCTCCTGCATGCCCCTACTGGGGATCAAGCCCACAATCCAGGCATGTGCCCTGACCAGGAATCAAACCATGACCTCCTGGTTCCTAGGTTGATGCTCAACCATTGAGCCATAACCGGCAGGCTAGGTTGGTGTTTTAGGTATAGGAAGATTGACTGCCTGATAGAGATAGTGTGTAGGTGAAATGAGTGTCAGATAAATGGTTAGACTAGATGACTTTTACTATCCTTTCTGAAAGTCTTTGACTCTGTGACCTTTAAGAATGATGACATTATTACATCACAAAACATTGCATTTGGTGGCCTCTTCACTTCAGAGAATAGAATGTGAATGAGGTAGCCATTTCTGAGAAAGGAAGGTAGAGTCCTATGAATTTTTTCCCCCAACTTATTATCAAATGTTTGATTTACTAAGCAATTCACTAATTGAATCCTTCTCAAAACCGGGTAAATTCTTCCACCGCTCTCTTCAAAGGGCCAGGGGGCAAGTTCAATCAAGTACTAAGGAAACTGGCAAAGCGTTGGACAAGTCATCTGGCAAGGAAACAAACATGCGTTAGCCCACTGGGAACTGCTTCCTCTTTTTTTGGTTTCTGAGTGCCTGCTTCCTTCTCTGACAGGTTTGGTCGGATCGTGTTGGGGGACTGGAACTTAGTCCCAGAACTTTAAGTCCCAAGGTCCTTGGTTGACTCCCTTACTCTCTCTTCTTTCCTCTGCTGCAGGAAAGTCATCAGCACAAACCCACTGAGACCGACGTACCCCCGTTGCCTCAGAAAAAAAGGTCAAGACCTAAGCTGAAGCCAGTCTTCCCTGTGACGCTGTTGAAGGATGCGAAATCCAAACAAGAACAACTGTTTAGGTGAAGTCCTGGCTGCTCTTGTTCTCTTTTTCTTTCCCATCACTTCCTTATTCATGTTACCATGTCTTTTCAGTACGATTTAATACTTTTTGCTTGTTAGGGTATAGAAAGGTACAACTGTATGTTAATAACACGCAATCCCCAGTATCTTTTACACCCTAAGAGAAACTCCTTCAGAGCTAAGGTTTTTCACTAAGAAGGATTTTCAAGAGTGAAGAAAAAAATAGCCAAAGGTCTATGATTTGAGGAAACAGGAAAAAATCCGCCTCCCCCCTCCCTCAGCGCATGATAAGGGCTATAGCATAGGAACACTGTGCTATGAGATTTTTATTTGAAACTAGTTCTTTGAGCAGCCTATATCCCGTTTGGAGAGGAGAGAGGAGATTCTGAGCTTCCTTAGCAGGTTTACAGGCTAGGTTCTAGAAGCCTCCCTTTCATGAACAGTAGTCCCACCCTGTACCAAGGAACACCTGTCGTCGCCTTCTCTCCTCCCCTGGAATCTGAGAGCGTAGTGACTGGTTCCACTAACACCCAACCCTGGGATTTACTAAATGAACTTTCTTTGTTAAGGTTTTCCACCAAGAATGATTTCAAGAGTGAAGGGAAGTATTCAACCGTCTGCACTTTGAGGGAGCAGAAAAATATGTTCCCTCAGCTCACCTTTGCTGAAGTCTATGGAAGAGATAAGAAGGAAGATGGTAAGCTCCTCTCTTTCAAAGCAGTGGCCTACAGGACTGAGATGTGGGCAGGAGGGGCAACCCATGGAGATGAGATTTAAGGGCAAATCACCATCTCTCATGGAGGTTCTGGAGACTGTTTTTCCTTGTAGCACAGAAGCTAAGAACTGATAGAGGCTCAAGGGTGCTAGGCTTTGAATTCTGCTTACATCTTCAAATTTCAAGATGCCATAGCACAGTGCTTCCCAAACTGCCTCACCTACCGCTTTAAAAGTTCTGGTATATAAGTTATTTGCCTTATTATTTATTGAATGATTTTTTTCTTGTCCTAATTAATACCATATCATTAACATGGGTTTGATATACTAATTACATGGGTTTTTTCCCCTGACATTTAATCAAATTCATAATAATTATAATTTTAAATGTTTATGTATCACCTAAAACTACCCAGCAGTATGCATATCACACGTGAGAAAAACTGTTCTAGAAGGGCCAAAGGATAAGTCAGTCTGTCAGTCTGTCAGTCTCAGAGGTCCAGGAGTGTCTTCCCGAATGAGGCAGGACATTGGGGGCGGGGGGGATTGGGGGGGGGGAAGGGGGGAGGTTGAGATAAGGTTGCATGGAATGGAGGAAGGTATAATGAGAATGCTCCTTACAAATGATCATTCATTTAAGAACGTTTATGGGGCCGCTAGTAAGTGTTAAACACTTAATCAAGCACCAATAATAGCACTCAATGTCTGAGATAGATGGGCCAAGTCATGAAGGGCCTGGGTTATATGAAGGGCTTGGGTTTTCTCCACTAGGCAGCTGGGACCCATTGAAGAATTTCAGAGCACTCAATAATAGACAGTTGAGACTCAAAACCAACACACTTCGGGAAAAGGCTAAGAGGTATAAGAATATACAAGTGACTGTACCTTATAAGAATTACATGAATATCAATGTGGTTGTGGATGGAATCATTTGAGAGGGGCGAGGCTAAACGGGGAAGACCCTAAACGGGCAGTGCTTTAAACTGGGTTTTGAGGGAGGTAAGGAATGGTAGTCCATGCTCTTACTAAGAGTAAAGACCACTTGACTTTCCCTCCCAGTGGGTCGATGTCATGCCTCATGTCCAGTGTCCTTCTGGACCCTCGGGAGAGCCACACTCACAAGGTACCCTGTGTTTTGTTGCAGTCTCCAAGAAGTCGGAAAGGGCCATGCCGACCGGGAAGGAGGACTGGGAGCCGCTAACCCTTGCATCGCTCCTGGACATGAAGCCCACCAAAACCGCGCCCGGGCAGAGTGCCTTCCGCAACGGGAGGGTCAAGCAGTGGTTTCTAAACAAGGCCTTTGTCATTAAGTAAAAATAAATCCTTCGGGCCGCTCGCCTCGGTCTCCGGGGACCGAGAGGCCAAAGAAGACGCTGTCCAGGGCATGTCAACCCAATAAAACCACATGCTGCCCACTGCGGGCATGGGCTGCCTGGTCGCTGGAAGGTGGGCCGCGGGTTCCGACCCGTCGGGGCAGCAGCGACCACCACGCGGCCGGGACCCGGCGCCTGGCCCCGCCCCCGCCGGCTGGGGGAAGACGAGAGGGCGTGGCCACGGCCCCAGGGGACCCGAGCGGTCGCGACAGCCGGGGAGGGCGGGCCTTCTCCCCGAGTGACGCGTCGGCGGCCCAACCCGCGCCAGAGCGCGGGGCCCGCCTTCCTGCAGCCTCTTCCGCTCGGCTGCGGCGCCTGGGAAGGTTGCGGTGGGTCTGGGCGCTGGGAAGTCGTCCAAGATGCTTAAAAAATTCGACAAGAAGGACGAGGAGTCTGGTACGCGCTGGGCTTCTGACGCCCACCCCCCGCCGCGGGGGGTCCCTTCCCCCGCCCGCCCGCCGCACCTGCTCGGGGGACTGCAGACCGGGGGCGTGGGCGCCGGTGTGCCGGGGGCCGTTCCAGCAGGGCCCGGCCCCAAGCCCTTCCCCCCGGAGCCGGACCCTCCCCTAGCCCGGCCGGGAGGGCGCCCCCGCCCGGGAAGGCCCTACTTGGGGTCTCTGCCTATCCTCATTCCCTTTAGGACCACCTCTACTCCCCAAACGG